CACAAGTCTAGGGACTAAAGGACCTGCCCATGTTGACCAGAGGGAAACACCTGAGGGAGACAAGGCAGTTTTGAGTGCCAGCCTCTCTCCACCATTGAGCTCATAAGCTGGAAAAATCATACTCCCTCCTACACGGAGAAACCCTGGGCCATGACTGATCTGATGCAGCCCACTATCCAGACCTAGGACGGGCCCCAATGAAGAAGAGAATCTAAAGGTAAAAGATATCAAGAAGCCCTCCTCGGAAGTCTAAGAGAAAAAAAATTGTGCCCAAGAGTTAGAAGGAATCGGAGCCAGCCCTGAGCCCTAGCCTAACCAGAGCTCATCTGCAGACAAACAGAGCCCAGTAAGCCTCCCACTGCTCCAGCACCTCCCTCTCACACCCTGGATAGCCCGGAACATTTCTCTCAGCCCCACATCTGCCTAAGGCCCCTCTGCCCTATGAAACTGGCAGCAATAACCAAAAGAGCTGTGCCCAACTGACTCAGAGCTGAGTGTCCAGGCCACTGCTGCTGCCACCCTCTCCCTGCCCAGAGGCATCCAGGGGAAGAGGAGCACATACCAACACAGCAGCCACAATGCAAGTTTGTCAGTGAATGGAAGCAACAGGTGACCAATGCGGCCTTTGTGGGACAGGCTCAGAGTGACATGTGCTAAAAATTACAAAACTAGTGGGCTATACTGAGGTGTGTGCCCGTAAACTGACTAAGGCGGCCACCACAGTTTTCATCCATCCAGACCCAGAAGTTCAAAGGCAGGCTGACCAAAAAGATAAAGAGGAAGATGGATGCCGTTACAGCTGCCCTCACCACAAACCTAGAGGTCACTCATGGGGCGGGGGAGGGTCTCACTAGAATAAAGCCTGTGATCCAAAAGTTTCTAAAGGAAAAAAAATGTGGCCAGACAAAAGGGGAAGCCTCCAGTGGCGTCGGCGGGCAAGTACCCACTGCCACGCTCAAAAGCTATGACTTGAGCAGAGAAGGAGCGAATGTTTTCCCCCAGCCTTTGGCCCCAGCCACTCCTTTCAGTCTCTTCCCACTTGCTAGGAAGTTGATGACTGAAGAAAATGGCAGGGGTCCCATAGACACGCACAGATGCATCTGATGCACGGGACCCAGGGCCTCAGGAGGGCTCAGCTGCTGCAAGCCCAAGAATACACTGGGAATAAGTTCATGTTAACAGCCGTGAGTGGGCCATAGGGCGCACACTCCAAAAGGACATGCCACGCTGGCTCCAAGCCACACACTGTGAGCCACCAACAGGAAGGGCGTCAGAGCCCCATGCACTCAGGAATAGTGAACAAGAACACAAGTGGGGCAGCTACTATAGACACTTAGAGCAGGCTCCCACCTGGCAGGAGGAGGAAGCCACGCAGACAAAGAGCAACACCTAGGTGGGCACAATGGGGCTGCCTCACCAGGACCTGCAGTGACCACACCACTGCCCTCCAACCTCGGCAGACAGCCCAGGGCGAGATTCACATAGGTGCCTCTTATACAAATGATGTCCCAGGTCATCAATCTCTGCTAAGACTTACACTAGATTTTAGAGTTGGATAATCCCAGCAGCCAAGATCCTGCACCAGGAGATAATAAAAAAATTCCTGCAACTTAAAGGGCCAGAGGCTCTGTGTACACTTCACTTCCCTAAATGACAGCTCCTCCCAGGGGCTTGAGTCCACCATTCTTGGGTCAGAACTGGACTCTGACTTAAAAGCCCACATCTATCAAGAAAATGTCAAAGACCTTGGTTACCATCTGACTCAGCAACAGAACAGACAACACCAACTGGCCTCAAAAGAAACAGGAGATCTGCTCAATTCCAGTCCCTTCAACCTGCCATCAGACCAGAGAATTCTCGGGGGCTACTAGATTCAGCCATATACAGACCCCCAACTTTCAGTGGCAAAACCCCTCTATGAAGCCACAAAGAGAGGAGAATGGGATCCTCTAATATGGGGCCAAATAAGCAAGAGGCCTTTGAGGACATTAAATAAGCACTCCCAGTGCATCTGGACTAGGGCTCCCTGACCTCACAGAACTTTTCTTTCTGTACATCCATGAACAGTCTGGAGTGACTGTAGGAGTCTTGACTCAGGTGCTGGGGACATGGACATCTATGCAAACAGCTGGACTCTGCAGCCCAAGATTGGCCACCTTGTTTACAGGTCCTTGCAGCCATAGATCTTCTGATGTTGGAAGCTGATAAACTGACTATGGGACAAAAATTGTTTTTCAGGGTTCCTCATTCAATTTTCACATTGATAGACTACAAAGGACACTATTGGTTACTAATGAGAGAATGGTCAATACCAAGGCATGTTATATGAAAACCCACATATCCATGTTGAAGTCATCTGGACTCTAAACCCAGCAACCTTGCTATCCCTCTGACCTGGACAACCTGATCAGAACTGAATTGAAGTCATGGATGAAGTGTTCTCCAGACCACTCCTGGCAGACCAGCCCTCAGGGACCCTGATGTGCAGTTCTTCACAGATGGAAGCAGGTTTATAAAAGATGGGGTGTGTTTTCCTAGATAGGCAGTGGTCACTCTGGACTCCACTGTCAAGGCAGAACCTCTTCCTCAGGGAACTTCAGCACAAAAAGCAAAGCTTATTGCTTTCACTCAAGTACCTCAGTTGACAGCAGGAGTCTGTGTGGATATTTACACAGACTCAAAATATGTGTTCACTACCCTTCATGTTCATAGGGCCTTATGTAAGGAAACGGGGCTAATTAACTCAGGAGGAAAAAAAAAACATAATGGATGGGCAAGAAATTCTTAACATTTGGACGCAGTATGGGCTCCCAGGAAGGTTGTGATTATGTATTGCCAAGGTCATCAAAAGGGAAACACTGTGGTTGCTCAGGGCAACTGGAGACCTGACAGAGGCCAGGTTAGCTGACTGCCAGAAATAAGAAGAAAATCCAGTCCCAGGTTTAAATGCTGCCCTTCTGCCTGACCGACTGTCTAACAGAATGGGAACCAACCTATTCCCAGCATGAAAGGAAGTGATACAAGACTGAAAAAGAGAATTTCTCCAGGGTGGACGGTGGAGATTTTCTGATGGCTGCAAAGCCAACATGGAGAGTCTAGCCCCAGCCTTTATCCGACAGTTCCCCAGGAGAGCACTTTGAACATACAGCACTTGAGACAGTTCTGTGTCAACATTTCTATGTCCCCTGGCTCACAAGCAACAGCCAGATGATCAGCAAACAATGTGAGGTGTGTGCTCACAACAATCCTTGTCAGGGGCCAGAGCTCCCACCAGGAGTCCAAACTATAGGAGGAGCACCTTTTGACGACTTGGAAGTAGACTTCACTGAACTACTGCTGCAGTCTGGCTGGGCACAAAATCAAGAGCCACTCAAGCAGGAACAAACTTTATTTCCCAAAACTCCCGCAAACGCCACACACGTGGCCTTCTCCCGGGACACACACACCAACCGAAAATCCCTCCTACCTTACTTCCCCAACTAATGGGAACTCTCCGGGAGTCCCCATAAGAACTCCAAAGTAGCAGGCCTAGGTGGACAGCAGGAGTCTAATCTCCAATTGAATGCACATCTTAACATAATCATTATCATCTCAATGGCTTGCTGGCATCACCTTTCAACCAAAAATGCCATGCATCATTCCTACTGGGCTATGGCTCTCAGCATCTCCCCCCTTCTGTTTAATTAAGCACCAATCATGTGGCTTAGGGACCCTGCCTGTTAGGCTGTCCAATACTACATATGGTCCTTACCCGTCATTGGATGAGCTGACCTCAAGGCGTCAGCCTCCTGTCTTAGGTTGGTACCACTGCAATTGGATCATACCCGTCACTGACTACCGGTCCAGCATACAGCCATACTTGTGGATAGGCCTATGCACCAGTGGGGGGGTGAGGTTCTTTGTCTCACCTCTGTTGGCCCCCAAATTTGGCCTTTGCACCAGTGGGGGGTGAGGTTCTTTGCCTCACCTCTGTTGTCCCCCAAATTTGGCCTTGGTGCCAGTAGGGGGGTGAGGTTCTTTGCCTCACATCTGTTGGCCCCCAAATTTGGCCTTGGTGCCAGTGGGGGGGTGAGGCTCTTTGCCTCACCTCTGTTGGCCCCCAAATTTTAGACCATCATTAGCAGAAGGGAGGAGGATACAGAAATGCCACAACACTAAGCCAATTGACGGCTCCTTTGAAAAATTGTACCACCAGTGACACCATCAACAAAGATACTCCAGCATTACCACAATTCGCTGCACCAACAGATAGTTCACAATGTATACAAGTGATACATAGTCCAGGCAAGTTCTGCAAGCAGTTCAAAGCAGAGGAATCTATCAATATGTTCATTTCCTCCCAAAGTAAATAGACTCCTTGATTGAGCATTACTTGTTGATTTTTTTTATTATTATTCATTGATGCATCAGTTTATACAGTTTACTGAGATAGCTATCAAAGAAGCTGTAGTTTAGTTTTATCTTTGTCTTCACCAGTACTGGGATGAAGATAGGAATTCTGGCAATGATGGCTAAAAAAATATGTAACATTCCAACAGTTACTAAGAAAACAATTTTCTGAACAATTTACATTATCCTGAGCAGAATTATTAAATATAATGAAAAGGAAAGGTGAAAGTAAACAAACAGATCTGTTAACCTCCTTATTTGTTCACATTTAAAACAATCCTCAACAGCTGTTTACCCAATTTAAATTAAACCATTTAAATCACGTGAATAATAAAAATATTTGGATCCATTTTTTCATGAGCACGCCTCATATATGATCTATGGACATATGCACATACAGACATACAACACAAAACACAAGTGTGCACACATAACATACAACACATAAGACAATAGTAAAGGCCTTGTAGCTTTACACAGGTGAAATCTCCATTGCAATGTTTAAAAACTCCACAGTCAAAAAATAAAACTTATCGGAAAAACATTAACCTAGGTCTGAATGAGCTCAAAAAATAAAATAGAACTTTATGATGTGGGAAAGGGCAATAATAAAATAGATATTGAAAAAAGCATCCTGGTTACCACCTGGGTTTGACTCTTATTTGGATATCCCATCCTTTTTCCTGTAACTTGCATAATGGGTCTGAAGGTATTCCCACAAGCAAGCCCCAAGGTTTTTTACATTTGAAATAGGCTTTAATGGTGTTCATTATTCATTAGCCTCCAGGTGTGGGAGAACCACTGTTGCAGATCAAGACTAGCCAAGCTGGAGCTCTGGATATCAGCTGTTATGGATTTGAGTCAAATCATCTTCTTTTTGGTCTATGGAAATCGCTTTGGTTAGTCTCTCTGAAATCCAAATTGGCTGTTGTTCTCTCTGTGGAAACACACAAACAGAACCCCGACTCCAGACAATCACTGGGTCAGGACCTTTCCATTCCCCGTTAGAATATCCTTCCAAAGTACCTTAGGCTTATGTACATTTTTTGGGCACATATGCCTTTCTGCAGCACTAAGCCCTGATGAATCCAAATTTAAAATGTTTAGAGTAAAAAGGGTTGTTTTAAGTTTATCTTTGGGGGATATATACCCCTTTCCAATTTCCTCTTTTTGTTTTAATAAGTACATTTTAATAGTTTGATGAGCTCTTTCAACTATGCCTTGTCCCTGTGGATTGTATGGGATTCCTGTTATATGAGTAATGCCAAATGATGAGCAAAATTGCTTAAAAGAGGTAGAAGTATAACCAGAACCATTATCTGTTTTCAACTGTTTTGAAACGCCCACAGTGGTAAAATTTTGTAAGCAATGAGCTATAACATCTTTAGTTTTTTCTCCAGCATGAAAGGAGCCCATCAAAAATCCAGAAGAAGTATCAACTGTAACATGCAAGTATCTTAATTTTCCAAATTCTGGCAAGTGTGTGACATCCATCTGCCAAATATGGTTAGGTATCAATCCTCTAGGATTGACTCCAAGATTAACTTGTGGTAAAAAGGTCACACAATTTTGAAATTGTTTTATTATATGTCTGGCTTGGTCCTTAGTTATTTTTAAATGCTTTTGTAAAGTATTAGCATTGACATGGAACCTTTTATGAAAATTTATAGCTTCTTCTATTGTGGAGAAAATATGTATGTCATGTGTAGTTTTATCTGCTAAATCATTGCCCAAACTAAGGGCTCCAGGCAATCCTGTATGTGCCCTGGTATGTCCTATAAAGAATGGATCTTATCTGTCCCAGATTAGACTTTTTATAGTGGAAAACAAAGAGAAAACAGTAAAGGAAGGGGAAATCCTACAAGCATCTTCAAGGGATACTATAGCATTAACTATATATTGACTATCAGAAAATAAATTAAATACAGAACTTTAAACATCACAAAAGCTTGTAAAACTGCATTAAGCTCTACCTTTTGAGCTGATTGTTTGGGTACTAAAAATGTAAAAGTTTGATCAGGGGTAACTACTGCTGCTGTACCGTTATTTGACCCATCAGTGAATATATTTGGAGCATTCATGATAGGTGTTTTTCTTGTCATTTTTGGAAAAATTACAGGATGAGAAGACCAAAAAGACAATAATGGATTAGATGGTAAGTGGTTATCAAATGAAATATTAGATTTACACATGATTATTGCCCAAGTATTTAACTCATTAGCTAACTCATCAATTTGATCCATTATATATGGAGTAATAATTTTATTGGGAGAAATTCCAAACACTCCCTTTGCTGCTTTTATTCCTTTGAGTATTAATTGTCCTACAGCCTCAGGATACCTAGTAAGAATAGTATTAGGAGAATAAGATAAATGTATCCACAATAATGGACCTTCTTGCTAAAATACTCCTGTAGGAATATTTTTTGTTGGTATTACAATAAATAATAAAGGCAAACTTATATCAATTCTATTCAAATGCATATTTTCCATATATGTTTCAATAATTTTTAATGCCTTTCTTGCTTCAGGTGTTAACACGCGGGGTGAATTTGGATCTGATGGACCTTTTAGGATATCAAATAAAGGTCCCAACTCTCCTGTTGGTATGCCTAGATAAGGTCTTATCCAATTTATGTCTCCTAATAACTTTTGAAAGTCGTTAAGTGATTTGAGTTGATCTACTCATATTTGAATTTTTGGTGGATGGACCATGGCTGAGGATAATAGAACTCCTAAATAATTAATTGGAAGATTTAATTGTACTTTATCTATTGCTATCTCTAGATTATATTTTTTAATAAATTTGTAAGTGTGGCATAACATTCTAGCAATGTGTTTTTATCTTTATGTGCTAATAATACATCATCCATATAGTGAAATATTTGTAGTTCAGGATTCTGATTTCTAAGTGGCTGGATTGCTTTGTTAACATAAATTTGACACATAGTTGGGCTGTTAGCCATCCCTTGAGGGAGTACTTTCCATTCATATCTCTGATCAGGACCTTCATGATTCAGTGCAGGGATAGTAAATGCAAAACTTGGACTATCCTCAGGATGAATTGGAATTGACAAAAAAACAACACAATCTTTAATATCTATAGCTAAAACATACCAGGTTTTTGGCAAAGCAGACAATTGGGGAATCCCCGATTGAGCAGGTCCCATAATAACCATGTCATTATTAATGGCTCTTAAATCTTGCAATAATCTCCATTTACCAGATTTCTTTTTGATGACAAAAATGGGAGTATTATGGGGAGATACAGAAGGTTGTATATGTCCCTCCGCTAATTGTTGTTTGACCAGGTCATGGGCTACTTGAATCTTTTCTTTAGTCAGGGGCCACTGAGAAACCCATATTGGTCTTTCTGATTTCCAAATAATTTTTATTGTCTCAGTGACCCCTTCTGAAAACCCAATCCATGTCTATTTATTCCTTGATCTATTTGAATTGGTGCTGCTATACCTTGTTCCTGTTCTCCTAATCTTTTTTCTTTCCTAAAACCTTGTCTAGCCCTAGTAGTGGGCGCATTAGGATTGATGTTATTTGTTAATGTCAAACCTAATTGATCTAGGATATCTCGTCCCCATAAATTTATAGGAAGATGATCCAATACATATGGCTCTATAGTTCCTTCACATCCTTCAGGATCCTTCCAATCTAATACCATTGCACTTCTATGGGGATTAGTCGCCACTCCTAGGCCTCGAAGCGTTTGAGTGGCTTGTTTTAACTGCCAATGTTTTGGTCATTCTTGACGAGATATGATGCTAAGGTCTGCACCTGTATCCAGTAGCCCATTAAATTCGTGTCCTTGAATATTTAGTTTTAGCATTGGATGAGAATCTAAATTTAAATACAGCATAGCCCAATCTACACCTGTGGAGCCTAATCCCCTGGAACCTCTTTCTACAGTACAACTGGAAAATTTATCATGCAGGCTGGGTATTATTAATAACTGTGCTATTCTATCTCCTGGTGAAATTACTGATATACTTCTTGGAGAACTAGCTATAATTTTTATTTCACCTTCATAATCAGGATCAATTACCCCAGGACTTATCATAAGTCCTTTTAGTGTAGAAGAACTGCGTCCAATAATAAGCCTACTGTTCCTTGGGGAAGAGGTCCTTTTACTCCTGTGGGAATGATTTGAACTCCCATCTCTGGAGTTAGTACTGCTCTGGTGGAGGCACAGATGTCCAACCCTGTGCTCCCTCTGGTTTGTCTGATGAGAGATCTAATGGATAATGTGTTCTGGGCACTACCCTGATGGTGTTGCTGGGTTCCTCCATTGCCCTGTATATTTGTGGTTGTGGGCCCCGGAGCATTGGGCCCCCCAGTCGGTTTTTTGGCAATGGAGCCCGATGTTTTTCTCCATGATATCGTGGGTAAACACCTGGTTCTTGTCCGTTTTTTGATAATGGAGTACCCTCTATGGTGGTTTGCGAATGGCATTCATTAGCCCAATGTCTCCCTTTACAGCATTGTGGGCAAATACCCGGTATTCTACCCCTTTGATACCTAGCTTTGTTAAACCCTCCTCCTATGGGGCAACTCCTTTTAAAATGTCCTGTTTGTTCACAATTGTAGCATGTTTTCGGCCTGGCATCTAAAGCCTGTTGTACTGCAGCTGCCAGGACTTGCCCTTGTTCATTAATGTCTCTACATAATTTGATATATGTGTTTAAATCTCCATGTTTCCGTGGTCTAATGGCCTCCTTGCACTATCTGTTTGCTTGTTCAAAGGCTAGCTGTTTAATTAATGGCATTGCTTGCTCTGTATCCCCCAAAACTCTGGTAACTGTTTGAATAACCCTATCTACAAATTCAGCGTAAGGTTCATTAACTCCTTGTATTACGTTAGATAATTGACCTTGTAAATCTCCATGTCCTTGTAAAGTCTTCCATGCCCTAACCGCATCTGCAGCAATCTGTGCATATGCAGCAGGATCATATGCAGTTTGTTGCAGCTGACCTTCATAAGGTCCTTTTCCTAACAACATATCTAGATTTCTCTGAGGGTAACCAGCTGCTGCATTTTGCCTAGCCGTCTCCATGCAAAATTCCTCATTGGCAACCTTCCATAACAGGTATTGTCCTCCATTTAGCACAGCTTTACACATGCTAGCCCAATCTGGCTGGCGTCATGTTCAAGTTGGTGATGTGTTCGACCATGCTTACCGTGAAGGGTGCTTGGGGACCATAGGTTGTTACAGCCTCTTTTAGCTGCTTCACTGTTTTGAAATCTAAAACATGGTGAATTTGCTGCCCTCCTGCTGCCTCAAATACAGGGCATGCTAATCTTTGAGGTCCTGTCTCAGGATCCCATTTATCAACTACGGGGGTTGAGGGTCCCATAGGCAGCACTGTTGGTTGAACACTTCTGCCCTCTGGTGATAGAAAGGTGTTAGTAGCAGCCTTCTGTTGTAACTTTTTCCCTGATGGATTTTTCTGCCCTAAACTTTCTTCCTCTTTCTGACTATCTCGAGAGGCCTCCTCTTCTTCTTGATCTAATATGTCTTCTACCATAATCTGAACTGAAAGGTTTGCACTAGGCAAACAAAATCGTATCATCATCCACAATGGCAATGTGCCAACTGGCAGAGTTCCTGGGTTTTTCTTTTCCCTGTCCCTTAAATCTTCACCATGATGGTCCCATTGTGATATATTCAACAACTCCTCCTTAAAAAGCCATGGGCTACCTTTTTGTATTGTATCAACATATGCCCTGACTCTTTTTGGTTTTACTGGGGTGCCTCCTTCCTCTAACAATTTACTTAACATTCTTTCGGTTTGTTTTTTGGTAATTTCTAACCCCATATTTCTGCTACAAGGATAACGCAACTCAAACAGATAACTCAAAACAAAACCGAAGCAAAATGAAACAAAAACGGAACAAAAAATCATTGTATCAATTTTCTCTTCTTCAGGGCCGAACAACTTCAAACCTGGAGCCAACCATTTTTCCCAGTTTGCCTGAGAAAGTTCTAGGGATAGGCAACTTGAAACAAAAACCAAATGGATCAAAACAAGAACACATTGTTTTTTGAAATGGTCACCCATTCTCTCGCTCTCCCTCATGGGCGAGCGATTTCACCTACCCTCAAGATTCAAGCATTACCTGCACGGGCCACCAAAGGCCGCAGTATGGCTGGGCACAAAATCACGAGCCACTCAAGCAGGAACAAACTTTATTTCCAAAACTCCTGTGAACGCCACATACAAGGCCTTCTCTGGGGACACACACACCAACCGGAAATCCCTCCTACTGCACTTTCCCAAACAATGGGAACTCTCCGGGATTCCCTGGGAGAGCTCCAAAGTAGCAGGCCTAGGCGGACAGCAGGGGTCTAATCTCCAATTGAATGCACATCTTAACATAATCATTATCATCTCAATGGCTTGCTGGCATCACCTTTCAACCAAAAATGCCATGCATCCTTCCTACTTGGCTATGGCTCACAGGGCTATAAGTAACTTTTTGTTTTTGTGTGCTCCTACTCTGACTGGGTGGAGGCCTTTCCCACCCGCACTGAAAAGGCTCGGAAGGTAACCAAAATGCTTCCCTGGGAAATTATTCTGAGATTTGGTGTCCCAATAACTATTGGCTCAAACAATGGGCCAACTTTTGGGCAGAGGTGATATGATTACTGACTAAGAGTTTAACTATGGGATGGAAGTTACATACAGCCTATAGGCTGCAGAGTTCTGGTAAAGTGGAAAGGATGAGCAGGACTTTAAGGCTTGATTGGGTAAGCTGTGTCAGGAGACTCACTTACATTGTGATGATCTTCTCAATATTACACTCCTGAGGATTAGATCCACTCCTACTAGGAGGACGGATTGTGTCCTTTTGAGATAATGTATGGGAGGCCACTCCCTCTTACTAGGGGACTACAGGGAGACTTAAGAGAGATAGGAGAATTTACCCTGAGACTGCAGCTTCAGGCCTTAGGGGAAAATTAACAGGTTCTCAAACAATGGGTTAGAGAAGATTGCCACTAAGTTTGACCCAGGTGCACACTCCTTCAAGCCTGGAGATTGAGTCTGGGTCAAAGAATGGAATATTCAACCCCTGAATTTCTTTGGAAGGGTCCTTTCACTGTTATTTTATCCACCCCAATGGAGGTAAGGTTGCAGAGACAGGTCCCTGGGTTCCTTACACCAGACTCAAGCCTGCAGCTGAGGACTGGGAGTGCTCTCCAGATGCTGCTACGCCTTGGACACTGACCATCCAGAAAAAGGAGCAGTGGAGAAGCTCGGGGATCAGAAGGACAACAGCCCTGCTCCAGTCACTCAGGAAGCTGACTGGTCTACACAAGGCCAAAGCTTTAAGAGACTATGGCCCTGTTTCAGCCACACAGGAGGGACTGGCTGATCAACACATGGTGAAAGATCAACTTCCCACCAGGACTAATGGACTCTTTCAACCTCTAAGATAGTTCTTACCACATAAGGCATGGCTACCCCTTGTGTATGTATGTATGTGTGTGTGTGTGTGTGTGTATACAGTTCTTTGTTTGGTTTTTGCTCCTGGCTTGATAACAGTAATTTCTACCTACTGGACTCTGGGTAACAACATTTTATTTATACTTATTTTTTTATCTTGCTTATATAAGTTTTCTAGGATTTATTGGATGTTATTAGTTTGGCTTTGTTAATTCATACTAACCAAAATGGTAGTCTATTACTCAGTTTGGTTTCCTTTGACAACCTTAAGGGGTTCTGCCCTATTCCTATTCCATCCACGGAGATCATGTGACCATGTGTCAAGACCATCTACAGTAACCAAGAGGTGGTAAGA